TTATATTTTATTTTATTTTATTTACCATTACCAAAGTGGTTTGCTAGATAAGATTGGCTATGGATATTATTATTTTAAGATTAGCTACTCAGGACCTTTGATTGAGTGTACATTAGTTTAGAAAAGTTAACCATTTATTCTTAAGTTAATTTTGCATTTAAAAATAAACATATAAATAAGAATTTCTAACTTCACATTATCTATTCTTCAAAGTAGAAAAAACAGACTTTATCATAATTTCCAAATGAGCATATGGAAAAATCTTACACCAGACCCATCTTTCATTCCTAATTCTAGTGTCTAGAAATATTAGCAGTATGATTTGAGTAGAGAAAGCCCCAATTTGATCTAGAAATTATTGAGTCAGATTAAGAAAACAGAGCAAAATCAGTAACTCATCTTCTCAACTCCGAGCAGCACTTTATTTTTATATTTTAATGTTTTCTAATATTGGGACCCATCTTATAATCAATGCATAGTCTGAAAATTTTGTATTTGTTATTTGTCATTAAATATCTTATTAGCAATGGTGTTTTAGAATTGAGAAGCTAATAAAGAGAAATATTTCTATTTTATTAGAAATCATTACATCAAGAAGGGATTTTGTTCTTCAGATCTATTTCTAATTTTTTCCTCTTTAGTCCCCCACTTGAAGTAACTGTTATTTAAGAATAGATACAGAAATTGAGTATAATGTCTATATGAACACTATCATTAATTACATCCATGGTGCCTTTTACATGTACATACATAGAATCCCTGACTTCTAATTTCTATTAGACTCAGTAGCAAGTTATCAGGGGAGGAAAACAAGTTTTCCCCTCTTTCCTCTACCCTGTGAAAACTAGGTTGTATGGAGTAGCAACAATAAATGAGTCTATTTTTAAAAATACCTTTCCTTTTCTTCACAGGATTGGAAATTCTGGCATAAGCAGGTTTTTAAAAACAGTATCCTGGTACGCCAACTGTTTTGTGACTTGCTATTTTTATTTGTCATAAACATCATTCTATATGATTAAATAATCTCCTAAAGCTTCTTTCATATATTCAAGTATTCTGTTGTTCATTTTATAATATTTTAAACCAGTTCCCTTCATTGAATGCTTAGGTAATTTCTATCTTTTAAAAATCGTAAACTATGCGATGATGAAGATCTCTTTAGATAACCATGTTCACAGTCTGCATTATTTCCTTAGGATAACTTTTTTAAAGAAATGATATTACGGTTTCAAAAAATATGAATCTTTAAGAGATTTTTTTTTGATATATACTTCCCTACCCAGCTGTGATCCAAAACAGTGACTGCCAATTTATATGCCCACCAGCTAAGTGTGAGTGTATTTTTCCACCCATTTGTCCAGGACACAGATGCTCTTCCTCTGTGAATATAAATAGCTTAATTTTATTATCATACACGTGCATATGTGTGCACACACACAGGCTTATATGTATATATGTATGTACGTGTCTGTATATCATTTTTACTCAGAATATATTTTATATTATGAACACATTTAATCTCTTATATCAAATGAGTTTGTAAACATATAATTCCGATGTGTCTGTTCTTAAATGTAATTATCTTGACTTCCCAGGTACCTGCATGAACATCACCCACAGCCAATGTCAGATGTTGCCCTACCACACCACGCTAACATCTCTCTTCCCAATTGTCAAAAAAATGGACATGGAGAAGTTCCTCAAATTCTTCACGTACCTCCATCGCCTCAGTTGCTATCAACATATCATGCTTTTTGGCTGTAGCCTTGCCTTCCCTGAGTGCGTCAGTGATGGTGACGACAGGTATTTTGGAACCAAAACCATGTAGTGATAAGAGTCATTTGTAGCAGAAGTCTCTGAGAGGAACAAAATTATCCCAAGCTACCTTTTGTTTTTGTTGTTGCTAAAGGAGGGGGGAGAAAACACACCACTCATAGCTAGTTTTAATTTTTTTAAACTAGACCTTTTTTGAAAACCTGGAATAATTTTATATATGGTAAGAAATTATTCAGTATGTTAGATTGATGCTATCAGCTGGGATACTCAATCTATTTCAGTAAGGGTCTGACAGAAGACAGCATACTCAAAGAAGTAATTGAAAAGAGTTTATTGATGGGACTATTTATGAAGATGTGGTTAGAGTTAAGAGAACAAATTAACGGGAGCCACGAGGGTCTCACTATAGTGGGGTGCAGTTCTACCTTCCATGCCTTGAACGGGAAAAGTGCGAGCAGCACTTGGAGAGAGCTGTAAGTGTGGGTGAGAAGTCTCCTGACAGGCCAAGTGCTGCAACCCCAGACAGAGGTGCACAGCCACTGCCAGCCCTTTAGTCCTGCAGGGAGAGAGAAGAAGAAGTAGATATCCTGACCTCATTCTCCTTCTGCCCTCTCATTTGCCAGGGCTTTCTGCCAACTAAACTCATCAACAGACTTTAGGCAAGGGCAGGAAATAAATATGAGCTCCATAGATAAGATCCCAAATCTCATCTAAATATCAGCAGCTCAAAAATCCCTTATCTTGTCATCTAAATCCCTTATGGATGAGATGCTGGGTGATTCGCATGGTCAACTCTGGAACTCAGAGCAGGGCAAGGAGGGTGAAGGGTAGACTCAGAGACTGCCCAGCACAATATCAAATAGGATTAGAAATCATTTTCTTTTTTTATTTTATTTTATTTTATTTTTTATTGAGTTTATTGGGGTAACTGATTAATACAATTATATAATTTTCAGGTATACATTATCATTTGACATCTACATATTCTATTGTGTGTTAACCACCCAAAGTCCAGTTTCCTCAAGGAAAAACCTTATTTTTCAGTAATCACAGATTGTGGTAAGCTTTCTAAAATTGACACAATACCCAGAAACTATAAAACAAAAGATAAATACGACTACGTGCAAATTGTTTTAAATGTATGTCTAAAACCACTATAAGCAAAGGCAAGCAAAAAACTGGGAAAATGTCTGAAGTTTATTTCATAATCAAAGACCAAATTCCCAAATACACACAGTTCCTATAAATCAATGAGGAAAATATTAGCAATCTAATAGAAAAATATTGGGAAAATATGAAGAGTTAACTCATAGGAAATGAAATACAATAGACTATTAAAGACAAAGCTATACACAAAATTATTCATAATGAGGTAAATATATACATACATCTATA